ATAATTTTTATAAGTTTTGTTCACCACGCAATTCGTTAAGTGAAAGCGAACCGGCGTTGATTTAATTTTGACAAGGTCGTGTCCGTCACGTACGCGTAATTTCCGATTTGTTTTTGTTATTGTTTCGTCTGGTTTTACGCGAAAACGTTTGTCATTAACGTTAGACGCATTGGAAAGTTAACAATAAACTCCCGCAGCCAACAATAACATATTCAACGGAAATATTGGAATTTTAAGTAAAAAATATTTTTTTTTCATATCAGATACATAAAAATGATTCTAAGAAATGGCGGAAGTAGTGGAAATTAAAATGTGAATGAACGCACAATGAATAATTGATTGCGTGGTGTCGTTGGCGTTTGGCGGATTGTCAGAGAGACGCACAGGAACAGGAACTCGGACAGACTGAATTGGCGCAATCGCCACCGCGCGACACACATGCACACACGAAAAATGCGATTGTTTAACATGCAGCAGGCTTCGGCTAGACTAGACACTACGTCGAAATGTCGACAGCGTAAATAACAGGCATGCCGATAAGATAATCTAAATCCACGTTTTGAGTTTTTTTTTAATTTTCAACAACAACGCACGCACTTCTGCTACACAGACCAGACTAGGCAAAACTAATTTGCGTAAAATTTCGCGCCCAATTTTGGCTGCAGTTTAAATTATTCCAGCGATAAACATTTCAAGCCAACTGCTGAAGTGAATAGATAACGGTTCGAGCACATTGTGTGTCAGCGAGTCGCGCAGCGGTGAAAAAGTGCAAGTGGTTTTAATGTCGGTCGTAAAAAGCGAAATTTTTTGGTACACTCTCGCTTTCGTAAAGTTGAACAAGAAAAATAAAAAATACAAGAGCATTAAATATTTTAACATAACATTTTCGGCCTAGTAATGAAATAACAAAAATTTTCTTGAGCGAGGTTCCGGTTGTCGACTGGGTGACGTCACGCCAGGAAACATCGATCCGTTTTCGTCGGCAGCGAACTCAACACGGAAGCAAACAGGAAGACGAATATTCCAGCACATCAAAACATTCTACTACATATTTAATGGACATAATCTGAATGTTCTATACGTAAAAATAGGTTATATCGATAGTGGCGCCATCATACTGACAAAATATCAAGACAGTTAAAAAATAATATGATGATGATTATTAAGATAATTATACGCAGGATCACTAGAGATGATGCTAACATTTACTGAAATATTTATGGCTGCAAAACACATGCAAGTACATTGGTTGCTTTGAAACAATCACGCGTGACATTTAAAAGACGGTTATATAAACGCTTAAGATGCATCCTTGTGAACTTCATGTCTTCATTTCTTCATCCCATGCTGTTTAGTTCAATATTGATGCAGCAAATGCAAGTCAATTTTTGTGTTGCTGTAGAATTTTGACATTCATTAGTTATTCGTCGAATGTCGAATGCGTGTTTTAATTCATGCGTGCTCCTCACACTGCTCGTATAAGTTGAATAATAGTCGCGGCTGTTGTATCGTCAGCGTGTACTCGTAGAGCCGGTGTGTAGAAATGAGGTATCTAGGTCGACGTTCACTTATTCAACTTGTGTTTTCGATGGAAGCGCGCCGTGACACACACGTACGACAATTTATATTTTGTTGCTCGTTTTCATCAAGTACTCTCACGTGGTTGAATTTTTCGCCATATTTTTTCGCAAAAAAAATATTTTTCTTCCATTTTTGTTGTATTGTAATTATACGCACTTAAGATTACTCTAATACACTTGAAAATTTTAAAACATTAAAAATTGTTTGTTTTTGACTTTTGTTTTGAAATATTCAAATGTGTTTTCCGATGACATTTTGCACAATTCGTCGACACGCCGAGTGCTGAATACGTAAAATCGAACACGATTGGTCGACTAATGTGTCATGGATGGTGTGCAAGCGCCGACGGGTTTTTCGCAAGTTTCGGGCGGTGTTTTGCAATCCGCGCTCGGCGCTCAAGACGGACGCACAAATCTAGATAATCCGCGCACGTTGTCTATGTGTGTGAATGTGTACGAGACGCGGTTGTAAAAAAAATTGCGCAATTGCACACAAATACGAACGAAACCACCAAACGCGAAATAATTCCTGCGAGAGGGAACGCGCATTCAATTGCGGCGAATTAACATCTCTTCAAAAACCGATGTGGCAACTTTACAACTTAACAAATTTTACAACGCGTGCGCTAATCATCCACGTAATTGCGAAACATTTAATGAGACATCATTTTGTGAAAAAAGACCATCCTAACAAATTAATGTTAATTCCATACAAATTTGAATTTTGATGATTCGTGCAATTGCCAAGTATGAAATCGAAAGTTTGTAAACACGTAGCCAGTTATAACATAAATATGGTGGTGTTGACCCCAGTTGTGTACTCGCTGGGGATGAGTGCTTCCGCCGCCTCCACTGCGGCGTAATGCCGTGCAGTTCACCGATATCAAACTATATCTGAAGTGAGATAGCGGGCACTGGCTCCGGCACTAGAACCGTCTGCGTGCACAAAGCGAAAGCGCAAAAACGACATCACCCCGTCGCTGTGTTGACTAAACGGTTCAAGGGGGGCGGGCGGCTTTCGTCTAGCCGTATCGACCTCTCTGCTGCCGTCGCCGCCACCGCGTGCCAAAGTAGCGCAAACGAGACGCTCGGGACAGACTGCATTTTACGACCGCAGCGGCGGCGCTCGACGCTTTTTTGATGTTTTTCAACTTGCCATCACGCCTCCGACCACCCAACCGTGCCTGCCAACGATAGCGAAAGTTTATGAACGCTATCAGACTGAAAACTGCAAAAAATTACAGACCACCAGTATAAAAACTACCTTAAACAAGGTTTATTAAGTTGATTCGTATAGAAAAGTATTGTAAAGTGTATATAATTAATATTAAGTGTAGATGTAAGTTTTAAATTTTGTTTACATGCAGTCATGTTTCGCATGTTGCGCGTGTCACTTGTTTATATTTGAAATCTATGCGATTGCGACTTGTTTTCTAGACAGAGACCCACTTAGAAGTGTTTGTATGCACTGTTTTTGTTACAACCTACATTGTAATTTCATTAATTTTTCTCATATATAGAACAATTTTTAAATTTTAAAATCCACCGCACTTGATTTCCGCCGACTGATTGACGTAGCGCGCGCGCGACAACAATTCCTTATTTGAAAATTGATAAGACGCATTTAATAAGTATGTCAGTAGAGCACTAATTGATTGGTATCACGCACACATGTGACGGGGCGATACAATTTTTGAGTTCTATTTTCACATGAGACGAAATCATTTAAAGACACAAATAGATAATTGACTGCAATCAGTGTAAATTGTCACAATTTACAAGAACAAAGAATTTAATTTGTACTAATACATTTTTTAAGTTATGCACTTTAAGTGAGTTTTTTTTGTGATATTTTAGAGCCTAGTGTAATTTGTTAGTACACACTCAAAGTGTTGTTTGCGTATGAGTTAGTTAAGAGCGGTGCGCGCATGGTTTGTCGCTGAGTCGAGCGCGAGCCGACTATGCCGATTTGGGTTAAGGCTAACTGGTAGGAAAAAAATTAAGTACTTGATATGTAGTTTTTTTTATATATATATTCACGCGCATGTGCACGCACACACATTACAAGCTTGTGTAGTGAAACTATTACATAACCGAATTTTTCAAGCTCATTCTCAACATGAGGTCTATTGAAAAGCTTTTCGTGAATTTCTCATGAATTGCATGGATTTGTATTGTTTACTTTGGGATTTGATTTGAGGCGAAACATTGCAATACCGTACAAGAATTTCATCGTCTGCATGTTTCTGTAGAAAGATTGGAACTTGCAGACGTTGCAAGCCAAACGGAAGATTGACTCGATTTCAGCGTCTCTTGTGTCGAGGATTGTTTCGTGATAGTTTGCTCAAACCGACAATCTTGTAACGCGCCTAAAGAACAATCGTCGAGCGCACTACCGCGCTGCAACACTCCATTTGCAATATTGCGATAAAATAATTACGCAAGGATCGTTCAACAGTTTCTCGCTTCATGTGCGCGGTTCAAGTCAATGCAACAAAAGTTAAGAGGTTAATTCTGCCCAACCCAGTATAAAACTTTGTTCTCAAACAAACAAGGGAAGTATTAACCTAGTAGAAGACTAAAAATTTGCGTAACTTTACGTTGTTGTTTGTTGGGTTTTTTCCTCGCTCGGTGCGAGATGAATAGGCGCGAATAATTATGAGTTGAGATGTTGTAACGCGCACTTGCCTACTTTGTTTGACGGTTTGGGTCGGTTACTTCATTTCCCGTCATCCGACGACCGCATTACCATTAAAAATCGAGACGCGTCCGACGAAATTTTTGCAGAAATCGAAAGCGCACTTTTTTGGGCAGTGTGCGACGACGTGCGTGCATCAGCCTAAAAAGTATTACGCAATGTGTTTTCGACGTGTGGTCTCTTCAAAGTTTACAGCGTTGTTGCTCTTTGCGCACAAGAAGCGATCGTGTCTTGTTGAGCGCGCGCGAGCGAGAGAAGGCATTCGGGTCAAGGGGACTTTCCCTTCCGGTCGAACGAGAGACACATCTAAAGTGCCGGAGCCCCGGTTCTCTTCGCCTTCTTGCGATCGCGCTTTTGCTCGTTGAAGTAAGTTGAAGTCATGATGCGATTGCCACATACTCACACGATCGGACTTAAGCCAACTCAATGACTTATGTCATAACATATGTTTGTTAAATACTACGATAATAATTGTAATATATCATACAAACCTGATCATGTGTGGTTGAGATTTAAACAGTTTATGATAATATGTAGGTGAATAGTAATCATATTCCGGTGTCCTTAAAATTGTCTCCTGCCGACAACAAGCGAAATAAGTGGAACACAAAATCCTTGGAAGTGAAGCCTTAAAAAACAGCGCAATTTCCTTCTTTGTTTTCGACATATCAACACAAAATATACGAAATTGTGTATATAATGATTTTTGTTTTTGTTTTCAGACAATAGCGAAGTAGTTTTCAATCATTTGTCACCATCTCCGCCACCCCCGAGTAAACTACATCGTTCAGCTGAAGCAAATCGCGCATTACTCCATGGCATCCTCTCCGGCCAGCATCCGAACTTACATCATGCGCACGCCCTCATTACGGCGCCCAGAACGTACTCAACGACAACCGGTGAGTCCGCTGAAAGATGCATGCACGTGTAGGCCCTTATAATTGCATAAATCGTATGCTGCATACTGCTGCACGTGTGTTTGTCGGCTTGTCTAACAATCAATAATGTTACGTACGGCAAAAACTGACAGGCCCAAGTAAACAAGTACATCTGTACTTTCTGCACACTGAATCAATGGAATGCAAATTCTGTTCTATAACTCTATAGATTTATTCTTCTATTGAGTGCCAATCATTATATGGATACTATTGAATTTCGCTCTTGTTGCGTGTTAGCTGAAAAAGGGTCAACCCTTTTTCCACATTCGTGGAAACCTGACACACGGCGCGTGCATCTGCCAAAATATATTGTTATGTCATCGTGCGTTTGATTACACAGTGTTGCATCAAAGGATTGATTTTGGGTTTGGGATGACATGCGAGATGGACATGTGGGCGAAAGCGCACACATTGCACAGGGATTAAATTCCGCTATGTCACCATTGACGGTAGAGGGTGGTGATCGGTCAATGTTTAGTCAGCCAACAACTTAATTCGTTTTGCTAATATTTACGAAAATATCATATAGATTCATATAGAATCGGACTTGTAAATTCTAAACGCGAGAGAAAAAATTAAACCTTTTTTTACTTGCTCTAAACCTTTTTTTTTGCTAGTTCTCACCTCATAATCGGATGTTGTGATTTTGCGGATTGTAATTGCTTTGTAATCCACACCCGGAGGGACGACCAGGTCATTTTCAGCCTCAGTTCGGTTACACAGTAAGATTAAAGATTTAACAAACAGATCTCAAGGTGTTGCAAAGGTCCATTTTGACCTGCCTCTCATCTATTTAAGGGTGTTGAACTAAGAGGCTGCCAAAAGGAACAAAACGTCTCGCATTTCACAGCATTGTCTCAAGGTGTTCGAGATGTGTGTTTGTTTGGATACTTATCTGGTGTTAGGCAATGGCTGTCACTGCCTGGTTCATCAAGGACCTTACCGGGAAGTAAAGGGTTTGCTTTACTTTACCTCACTTTTTTTTTGTTTTAAGCTTCTCCAACTCCCAAACTGGAAGTTAATCTGATATGATTCATAGAGATGACTTGCTTTGTCCACGAGATTTGCTTACAATCAAATTTTGAATACCTTCAAGGTCTTATCAGTAGACACAATCTGAATGCCCAATTTTGAGGAAGTCTATGAATGCTGATTGATTTTTTAGAATACAATAACCGACCGTTCTCACTATTAGGTACATACAGTTTTTTAATTTAAAATTTGAACCCTTAGAATTTATAAAGTAATTTTTGAAAAGGAATACAATTTGAAGAGCACCAGTTTCTGTCCGCTGTCACACGCAACAAGTTTCTAGGAGTAATTCCATTACTTTGTTCCCGGTTTTCTAAAAATACTGATAACTGGTTTCTCTGTTAGATCGTAAAAGGGTCAATCATTATTGCAACACTGGTGAAATTACATCCATGTCAACCCTCAAAACGTTCACCTAGTAGAAAAATAGAAACAAGTCCGCTACGTTTGACCAGTGGTCAGTATTCAACTAGGTGTAATCTTTGTACCGGATGACCACTCAAGTCTAGTCTAGTCTAGTCCAGTTAGATTTTAATTCCTTGTGCCGGGTATAACCCACTTGTCTTGTCCTGATGTGATGCTTTCATCAAAGGTTGAAGCAAAGGGGAAGCATGGGAAAATTACATCGATTAAACTGACCACTGGTCAGTTAAAGAATAAATTAAATTTGAATCCAAACAAAAAAAATTGCAGATATTTAAATTTATTTTTGATTTAAATCTGTATGTTTCATGTATTAACGAAGAAAATTGTTTCCTCTTCCTGTTGGTGCAACATTTAACTGTAATTTATAGCGAGGCACGTTATTAAGGCTTTGATTTAAGTGTGTTGCACGATAGTGGGATCAAGCACTCGGCGTAAAAAGTGTGAGAATCCGGATGGACGCGTATCGAAAACGCGCATACAATGGGCGCAAGACAAAAGAAAAGTAATTAATAAGGGCCGGCAGCCGTATCATTAGTCACGCTTGCGTTCGTCCCCTCATTGCGATGCATAACTTAAAGAAGGAACTCGTCGTCTTGTCGCTTTCCGCTTCCAAGTGCAAGTTTTTCAATGCATTGAATTGGTAGGTCCAAAAATCTAAGCCGCTTCTGGTATTCTGATGTCCAGGTATTCTCTCGGCTGTCTCCAGCTCTTCCTTTGGCACACTGGGTGAATCCGGCAGTAAATAAACAGTGCTTAGGCACGCAAAGCCCTTCTGGCTCTCGCCCATATTATCCTTTGTCTCCTCGGCCCCTCGTGCTGTAGGAAGGGTAGACACTCGCCGCGGTGTGGTGACTGGTGGAAGAAAGGCACCCGAGCCTTGGAACCTGTTTGGATTCCGCGATGCGCTCCTCGCCGGCATTGTGTGCTTTCTGCGCGTCTGTCCGATCCCTTTAAACATGTCCGGCGTGACCCGCCGACCTCGCTGCCCATTAATCACGTCCATTATGCGCCGCGAGGTTTCGGCGAAGGGGTCGGTCGCGAGCGCCCCTTCATCGGCGGCGTAATGATGACTGGGAAGATTCACCCGATTATGTCGTTACCTACGATGACCGTTGGATAGTTCCGTCGTCCGGCATTTCGGCGATTCGCAAACGCGTCGTCGTCCTACCTTCGTGAGAACAATCCCAACCCCTTCAGAGCTTGCCCGGATCATGGGGATCATGTGTTTTTTGATTGTTTTGCATGCGCAGTCAGGCAATTTGCATAACGCATTCAACACTATGAAATGTTTTGATTTATTATTTCGCCGTTTTTTTCCTTCACTCCTCGGCTTGAGAAACTCGGACACTCGGACAATCGCACAATTGCACAATAGTCCCTTCAAAATGTCTCTTTTTAGAGAGGATTCAATTCAGAAAGACAACAAACAGTTGCTGATTTTTTGCGCACTGTCTGTGCGTGTTTTTTTTTATTCTAATGTCGCAAATGTTTTGCTTGCAGGTTCATTACCACCATCTCCGGCGGACTCTGGTGTTTCGGACGTGGACAGCTCATCTAGTGGTCACACCTCCACCGACGAGCTCAAAGCACGCCTGCAACCCTCTGGCTCGTTGGGTCCTCATTCACCACTCGGCTATCATCACAACCAGCAATTCCTCACGCCCTATCACTATCCCACCGGACAGCAGCATCGCTCGCATCTCTCGCACCCGCAGCATCATTATGCGTCGGTGCGGACGCCAAGTAAGTGCAAATTGTTATCGGTGACCTCCTCTACATTTTTTATCTTGTGATAACCGACGAGTACCATTAAGAGAGAAACTGTATAAAAACAGGCGATATTGTAATCTTTTTTAAAACAAGCTCTACGCACGCTACAAAGAATAGAACACGTTTATGGGTGCAATTCGCGTACGGGTCTTATCACTCGACTCAAACATGTTTGCGGCTCCACATTACAAATATTACAAAATGCCTATCTCAATATAAAAAAGCGTGATGCGTACGTCGCATAAAAAATACTCCCAACGTCGCCGCGTAACTAAATATAACTTTCGTTCGGTGCGCAACACGCGAAAAGAAAGCGAAATTGCCCTGTAAAAAAATCCCAGTCGCAAAAGAAAAACGTCTAGAGGTTTTCTAAATTTACTCTGGATCAGGATCTGTTTGCGCTCGTTTCTCACTTATTCAAGTCACTGCTTGGCAACCAAGTTGCACTTTAACATTTTGCAAATTAGGGCAGGTCGTGCCAAAACCATTTGAATTTTATATGCAAATATGCATTAGTATTTTAATATTTTTCAAATTTACAACATGATAACCCAACGAAAACATCCGCGAATGGCAAGAATTCAAAACAGGACATTCAATGTCAAATTTAATTAATTAATTTTATTGATATCATTATAGTCGTAGATTGACCTCAACTGCGAATTTCTGCATCCAGGGATCATCGCAATTGCCATCACATTTTTATAAAATAAATAATCATTACGCAAATGGAAAAAAATTCCACTTCTGTTCTACTCCTGTTCAAGTGTGTTTTTTTTATCGCTGAATAAATATCAGCTTGAGCCCGGGCGCGTTACTGGTCTAATCAAGTGGCTTCTCGATTATTTGTTATGGCTGTGGTGCTTTTTGCGCGAGATCTCTCCCGCGGCGCGACTCGCGTATGCTTTTCGGTGCGGTATCGGTGCGTTACGTAAACCATGACCTCGCGCAATGTCACAGTCGAGACGGAAATAGAATCCTCGGCAGCGCGCATTAACAGCGTTTATGTTTAGCTGCCGTCGCGCGCGCCTCTAATCAAACGAAACGTCGAGCCGCGAGGCACGAGCGCCAATCGCGTGAGCGAAGTGATGTTATCATCGTCGCGACAATTTTTGGCCAACGCGAATACGGTCGTGTTAATTTTTGGCGTTCGAGAGTGCATGGAATGCGCATGAAACCGTCGTCAACTTGTTTTCACTTTCGCTTTCAGTTGCGGTTTCAGGCCTTGCTTTCTGTTTCTATGCAGGGGAGACCAACGCCAAGATATTCCAAACATTGAAAGACGCATTAAACTCCTCGTAAAACTGCTATTTATATAAACGTGGCGAATTTTCCTGCACACTTTCTGTATCGCGTCGCTTCTTACACAATACCCTGTTTGTTATTATTTTAACCATCCCGACGATATGATAATACTATGCAAATATTTATCGAGCGAAATTTCATTATATATTTTTTTGCGTTTGGCTCCCTTGGCGGTCGGTCATAAATAAGCATTAAAAGAGTGGCATAGGTCTTGGTCTGTGTTTGCTTTTCCTCAACACTGTGTTTGGTTTGCGCATTTCATGATTTCGTCAAAAAGGTGTTTTTTTTTTCTGTTTAAATTGCGTTCCGCCAGGCGATTTTTGAGCGTTAATATTTTCGGCAAATATTTCCAGCGACAATGTCAAAAAACAGCAGGTTTTTTATCCGCACGTAATTGCGACTCGCGGAGATGATAAGATAAACAAATAAATAAATCACCTTTAATTTAAATATAATGTCGGCGATTCTCGCAAATCGTTGGATTGTTCGATTTTAACCAATGGTTTTATTGAGTTTGCATAAGTTGAGCCGCAATAACAGGTTAGTACCGTCGATGGCTCATTTACTGCGCATTAGTCTGGTCGACTGGTGGAACGTTAAAAATTCCGTTTTGTTGCCGCGTCTCTCGTCGCCTGCCGGTTAATTATACGCCAGCGGAGGCACATAAAAAGCGGTAGTAAATAGACACACTGACCTATCCCATAATCCTAGATTAAGACAGAACTAGCGCTGCGTCACTCCTCGCAAAACATCCAACCGACTACAACTTCTACTCTTTTATTTACTCAGCAAGTGTACGTGTATGAACCAAGCGCCATTTCGTTATTTGGGTATTACAAGAATGCGACAGTTTACGCGTTAAACCAAGTTGAACGTCAAGTTCGACGCGGAGCACACGCATTGTACATGACCTTGTAATAGGGAAGTGCGCGGTTCTATTAATAAGCTCATGCACAGCCTGCACAGCTCGCATGTGTCATGCGTTTGTCATGTCGACTTAATTAAATCATACCGCATAATGGTCAAAAACAACTCATTTGTCAAAGTGATAATACAGAAACCAGTCTGAAACATAACCAAACTTATGACAAATTTTGATGTTGAATGTATTTTGCTAGTTTGGTGTATGATGCATGTGCATGCGAGTGGTGGTCGCAAAGTGCAGGATGACCTTCAGCTCGCGGAAAGTCGCAAAGTCGATGAACTAGTGACCGCCGCCGCTCGCGCTAGACAGAGCCCGACGCACACACGTAACCACGCCGCGAATCGCGAAAGCAGACGCCAAACGCGCGCCGCATTTCCGACACCAACTCGCGCCGGCGCTGCCCACAACAAATCCGCTCGCGGCCATCTCGGATACTCTTCCTTCAAACAAACAAAACGTATCTCCAGGAATTATTCAAAGCTGACGCCTATCGTTACCGCACTGCAAATATATATTGTAACGAAAATGAAAGTGAAAATGTACACACACTGAATATAAATAGATCTCGTTGGCAATTGGCAAGGCAATTCGTAGAGTGCGGAAAAAGTTGAAAGCTATCCAGAAACACTGAATTGCGCTAAATCTGGATCGCGATGTTGATGCGTACTTTCGTTTTCCGTACATGTACAACATCTATTTTAAGCATGCAAACATTAAAGTTTTAAGTTTTTTCTGCGGAGTAAGATTTTGTATGGCTTTAAACTTAGGTTAGATTCGTTTGTAAGTATATATATACGAGACGACGATGCAACCGAAAGATTCTGAGATATCCATAGCTTAACCAGCAACAGCATGACACCATTCGCGAGGAGTAGTGTAATCGCGTGAGTTGATGTTGAGTGTGTGCAGTTGCAGTCGCGATGCAATAGTCGCGGACCTTGAATCGGGCGTCCACCCCGGGACCCGGCGTGCAAGCCGTATAGGCGCGCCGGGCGCGAGCGTGCACGCACGCGTTTTCTAACCCTTTGCCCCCGCGCCGCGCGCGCACACAACATCGTCGTCAAACGGCTACATCCTTCGCCTTCCCGCTCGCACTCACATCTCGCCACACTCGGATCTCACATCTATTATATTGAGCTTTTTGCGTTTTTGCTGCTGCCTTCCTTCCTTCTCTAGCGCAGCCATGAACTTATTAGGCAGCGCGCCTGATATATCCCATCCGTCTCATTGCGGCTCGTCGGCGCGCCATCCTATTTAGTCGAAGGCTGTGCCATCCTTGGCGCTGTGATATAATTATAGCGCGATTGTATGTGCCACATACCGAAGATTGCGCGGAGGGCTTGCTGCAAAAATGTCGTGCCATTGCCACTACTGCGTGCTAATAAAACCGGCAGGAAATGCACATTAAAACAATAACAAATAAATCAGATATAAAAATTATTTTCAATACATATTTGGCGGAGGAGCCGGCTGTAATAATGAGTATATTAACATGATTTCCTGAATTTTGTTTGAAACATAAACATAATAATAGTGCATTGTTTGTGTAATGCAAGGACATGCACCGTTGAAGGTTAAACCGCGTCACTTGTGTTTCCTGGTCAACGATCGCTAACACACCGCATATTGCAACAACCGCGATGCGATCAACCGTCTCTTGCACTCAACTATATTAAAACATTTCCAACTGAACCGGAAGTGACAACATTCGGGCTATATGTTTGAGATGTTCAAGTTTTGTTTGTTTTTTGTTTCCTTTCCACTTTTATGAAAACACCTTGAATATTCTAATAGCTGGTGTTTGCCGTGTTTCGGGTTTGGTATTATTGAAGGGATGTGATTTAAAAAGGGCACATCCTTTCTTCTGCATGCCGCGTGCGCCTGTAGTACCTGCTCGACCGCACCGACACCGGCTTCCTTCTTCCGGCATTCAATTCACCCTCTCTCATTATAATAGGTATTATTACCGTAGGTATATTCAGGTAGATGCCATTCTTCATGTTTGCGGTTTGTCAGTCAACCTGAAAGCGCCCGACCCTCAAAACGTGTTCAAACATGACCTAAATTCGATGACAAAATGTTTTTTTTATGATTATTATTGGAAATATAATGCATTTCATAAATATGCCATGCGTAACATTGCAATATTATTTTTTTATCGGCTCTTATCATTTTATCGTATTATTGACTTACCGCACGCGTTACGTAAATAAATCGTTGACGGTGATTGCACTCGCCGTGCGCAGGGGTGAACGAATTGGCTGATTGACTGATTATTACCATGTTTGTTTGTTTCAGTACCAGACAGTTACAGCAGCTACCTAACCACCCTGCAGCAGCACCACAACCAAGTACAATCCACACACCACATGCAGGCCTACCACCACCATCAGGGCGGCATGCACTCATTTGCCACACCTTCTGCCCCTTCGCCACCGAACAACCGTCACGCCATCCCCACGTCGGTAATACAGCAGCCGACGTCGAGTGTAAACGACGAGCTCTCCTACATGTTGGAGCTTGGGTTTCCTCCGCGTAAATTGAAGAAAGTCAAAAAGCCGAAGGCAGGTGAACCTGGATCTGTCAAACGTAAGAGTCGTGAAGGTTCCACCACGTATCTCTGGGAGTTTCTGCTCAAGCTTCTGCAGGATCATGAATATTGTCCACGTTACATCAAGTGGACGAACCGCGAGAAGGGCGTTTTTAAGCTGGTTGATTCCAAGGCGGTATCACGGCTTTGGGGAATGCACAAGAATAAACCGGATATGAACTACGAGACGATGGGAAGAGCACTGCGCTACTATTACCAGCGAGGCATCCTCGCCAAGGTGGACGGTCAGCGACTGGTCTATCAGTTCGTCGATGTGCCGAAGGATATCGTCGAGATTGATTGCACTGGCGCGTGAACACGCACCCTCTCGAGAGTGCTGTCAAGTCTCGATAAGTACAAGGATGGCATTGTCCGCGACGAGAGTATTTATTTCGAATTCGTACTCCACCGATCACACCCACGCACATCACCTAGAAACCCACTACCAGAACGTCATACGTCACCACCATCACAGTCGGATCTTGCGACATTAAAAGACATAGAATTTAATATTAATACTTGAAGTTACAACGATTTTAGCATTCGTAAGATGATGTTAGATCTCACGTTTATTGGTAATTGGTAAAAGCCAGTGGCGAGGATAGGAAAAGAAGATGGTTGTGATATATGAAATGAAACATGGCGCCGGACAATAAGAACATGCAGCAAACACGGTTTAGGGATGCGTTGATGAATATTGATGAGTTAATTAAGTTAGGCACACAACAAGGCAACGTTTTTTGCTCATTGCTGAAATTTGCGAATTTCAATATGATATTTAATTTGGTTACCATTAAATTATTAAACTATGAAATTTTGATGTTAAGGAATTGGAATTCAAATGTGATAAAACAAAAAGAAACGATAAGACAAGGTATTTTTGGGATAGATTTTTATAAGAAGCGAATTACACAAAAGTCGAGACAATGGTTGGTGCTGAACTATTGTAGGAAATGAGACTGCGCGAGGTGCCTGGACATTTTTTAAACAAAAATGTTAATCAAATGTAGATCGCGTGCGGTTAGGGTTTTGGCTAACGAGATAACTTAACGTCAATATTTTTTAACATTTTCGAGCAGCAAGTGGCCAAGGTGCAGAAGACGCCGATTATGAAATGAGAATACGTGCTGGTTAGGAATAAAGTCAATAAGGTATGAATTTTAACTTTTAAAAACGGAAAATTACCAACTCTTAGCTCTCTTTGAACATAAACTACTACGCATATTTTAATACTAAATAGTCTATGATAAGGAAGTAAGTTCTAAGTGTTTTAATAAATGTGGCTCATTTAAATGTGGAACGAATTGAAATCAGGCGAAATTACGAAAATTGATCTCAGATGTACACAAACTTAAAAAAATGCAAACTCATGGTGGCGGAGACCAAAATTTTAGCTAATACCCCTTCTCCTCTTTTACCTTACTGCTACTCTTTGATGAAATTAACTTAATTCGCTCTGCGCGGCACAATTGGGTCAATTTTTTAATTAATTAAATTAATTTCTTATTTATTTTACGTGTCTACTAAGTGTACATTCTGTATAGTATTTATTTATAAAAAAACCGCAGGATTTCGTGTTTTTAAGATGCATCACAAACGCCCCAAGCACGGAGTAAAAATTATTGATTGTTATTAACTGTTGTAACGTTCTGTGATTTGTAACTACAACTTAGTTTAAATATTAGGTTCCCGTTCTCAGACAACATTAAACGAAATTACAATTACAGCTGCCTTACACACACACACACACCCACCCACACTTACAAACACACGTATGATGGTGTGTTGATAACAATTTGGTGATGCAAAAAATTACAACACAAACAACTACATTAAATCGTACCTCTTTCAAGTGTCTTCATTAGTAAAATTTAAAATAATGAAATTTCAACACGCCAAACAAACAATTGTGAAACAAACTCAGTGCAACAGTTCAGGAAACTTAAAGAAAATTATTATATGATATTATGCGAAAGTATAGAGATCTATATTTATAAAATATATAACGACAAACGTGACAGAGAGTAAATTAAATGTAAAAGAAACAAAAACTGTTGATCGAACCCAGGATTCAAACTCAGTGGACATTTTATAATTACGGTATATGTATGTAATACATATTTTTGAAGGTGTTTTTGGAAAAAACGCACAATAATTCACTCTAGAGTTTAAATACTTTTATAAAACTACCGGATATTGAATGTATCAATGTACTGTAAATGTTTGCGTCCAACACAAGATTCTACTCTCATCCCGCATTCTAGACTTCTTCTACTCATCTACAAAGTCGTTGTGTATATCCTTGTTGAATGTTGAAACACCCCCAATGCGTAATGTAGGCACTAGTTAGAATGTAGTTACATTGATTTGTACTTGACAAACATCTTTGAATTCTTTTTGCATTTTTGTACGATTTCTACAAAACCAAAATGTTGATTGGTTCTATTTTGCTATGTATTTTTCGTATGCATTTTTTATTTCTTCTCAGACACAATCACAAACAGTAAATATGGATTTATAATCGTTACATAGTTAAATAGTTGAATAGAAAGAGGACACGTTAATTAAACGTATTCATTAATTAATTACGAAAGCGTACAGATTTAAATAAATGTAAAACGATGATGCAGAACATGCCGAGGCGAAGACCTGTTGCGAAGATAACATGGAAATAATGTCAATCAATAATTGCCGAATCTTTGATAGATTTGACGAGAATTGCGAGATGTGTGCGAAATTGTTTGGTGATATTTGAAAACAGAGATGTTAATTGTATATATAGGAATTTAATTAAATTGTAATTATAATTATAAATATATAAATATATATTATACATATATCCCAGAATCACTATGATGGAGTATATTGCAAGATGAGAAAACATTTTTTAATTGATTATGATTATATGATACTGTATAGATTTATTAAATATGATAGGATTTAAATTGGAAGTACTTTTATTATATATAAATAGTTTATTATTGTAATATTTTGTCTTATAAATACTACTAATGTAGTTGATAATTAACTTATCGTTATTTTTTTCTCCCTTTTCTAAGATTTATCATTTCAATCTTTCCATCTCTGATACCAAATTAAAACTGTGCGTAGATAGTGTTTCGTGTACTTTGTTAAAACAAAAAGTTTTAAACAACTTATATTTTTTGTTTTGCTTGGTGTATATTTGGTTGCGTGCTTTTGGTTTGCCGCTTGGATAATTTTTCGTTTGACAATTGCCTGCATCTTACGGTTCACGACTGTGCTACAGAATTGTAATGATCTATCACCTCCATCATTAACAATGCTTTTAATTGTTACTTTTCAATTAAAAGTATATAAATTATACTTTAACACCATCGTGCTGTGATTTATTCCTCGCGTACTTTGATAGTACCTCCAGGAATGTCGCTAAAGCAAAAGTTTTCTGAAGGTAATGTAAAGTTAAAAAAATTGGTATGAAAACAGTGTGTTATGCTCACAAATTATCATACTTTCAGGTGAAAAAGTGCTGTGTTTTCATGGTCCACTTATCTATGAAGCTAAATGTCTGAAGACCACAATCACCAAGGATAAACAATCTAAGTATTTTATTCATTATGCTGGTTGGAATAAAAAGTAAGCTAAGTGAATATTTACTATTATATTTATCATTTTTACATTAATTTATGTTTTAGCTGGGATGAATGGGTACCAGAGACCAGAGTTCTCAAATACAATGAAGCTAATCTCATGAAGCAAAAGGAGGTACAGAAAGCACATCAAACCCAACCAAACAAAGCTAAGAAACTTAAATTAAGGAAGTCTGATGCTAAAGATACTGATTCCCGATCAAGCACACCAGTGAATGATCCTCCAAAGACAGGAAAACATAAACTGCCAAGTACACCATCCAGTGGTGATTCTGGTTCAGATGTGCCAAAAAAGAAAAGAAGCAAATTTGATCCATCAGTAGAAACAGAGGAACAATTCTTAAATAAGGTAGAAATTAAAGTCAAAATCCCTGATGAATTAAAGCCATGGCTTGTGGATGACTGGGACGCTATTTCAAGACAGAAGAAATTAGTCAATCTTCCAGCCAAGGTGACAGTAGAAGGCATCTTGGAGAATTATGTCAACTACAAGAAATCCTGCAAATCTACCAATGCAAGCAAGGAAAGTGCCATCAATGAGATGGTAACTGGCATTAAAGAATATTTTAATGTGATGCTAGGCACTCAGCTTCTGTACAAATTTGAAAGACCCCAGTACACTGAAATTCTTCAGAATCATCCAGAGACTCCTATGTGTAATGTCTATGGTGCTGTGCACCTGCTGAGACTGTTTGTAAAGCTGGGGCCTTTGTTGGCTTATACACCACTAGATGAGAAGAGTGTAATGCTGCTGGTGCAGAATGTACAAGACTTTCTGAAATTTTTAATCAAAAACAGCTCAACGTTGTTTCACTTAAACGATTACACTAATGCTACACCGGAATATCACAGAAAAGCGCTGTAAAGACGAATGCTGATATTTATTGATTGTTACTTCTAGTTTTACTTATCTGAATGATGTTTTTAAGCATATTTGCTCATTTGATTGGTTAATAATTTGAAGAATGCAATCAATTATTACTATTATATTATACACAAGTCAGTATTGATAAAATGAAGGTTTAGTTGAAGTAATTGATTTTTGGATGTAATAATTAAACAGTTCATGTAATTCAGAACTCTGAATCTGAAACACCTGCGCGCCTTTTATAAGCCTAAAGAATAAATGAAAAATGGTTTACTTTCATTAGCTACTAAAGTAAACGAATAGCCAGTCAATGACAGATATCAAGGGATAATTGAAATTGATATTATTTTCGAGTGGAACCGCTTATGCTTGAACACGTTTTAGGTGATTCAACTTGTGCCAGCATATCCATACATACTAAATTTTAATCTAACCTCAAAACATTTTATTGAAATAAGTCTGACCGTTCATTAGTGAGGCTCCCGCTTATTAACGAATAAGTTTCCCTTAATTTCAAATGATTTAAGTGTTCATCGAAAATTATGCGCCAGGAAGATTTCTTTGCCATTCTTGTGATTATTGCCATCAATCTATCCTATACTTATAGTGGTCGTAAGTAATCAAGGAAATAGAAAAACATTTGTAATTTGTGTTTCATGAAGTTTGGTTTTGTAGCGAATAATTTGCACCTTTCGGATGGCACATCGACCGCGGAACTGATATCTGGTGATGTGTTTTTTGAGATTGTTGAACCTGAAGTACTAGAGTACACATATAGATTGAAACCTGCTAAAGATTTTGGGATACCATTTGTAAGTATTTTGTATTACATTTTAATCATCAATATAAATATATTAAATAATTCAAATAAGTTTTACAAATTATTTGTTTCTAGAATAAGTCCATTGAGTTCAAGCATATTTTATTGGTGCCAGCACAACCAAGACATGCTTGTACTGACCTTACAAACATTGATGACATTGAAGGAAATGTTGCATTTATTGAAAGAGGGTAAATATATAAATAGGGCACATTAAAGTTTGTATCTAATTTTAGTTTATGTGATGAACTTAAGCCTTGAACATCAATTTTTTAACTATATATATTTTCTAGGGATTGTTCTTTTAAAAAGAAAACAATTATAGCTGAAAAAGCAGGAGCTCGTGCTGTAATAATAACTGATACAAACAAAGAGAATGAAGAATATTACGTAGAGATGATTGATGACGATCTGACAACGGACGTAAATATTCCCGCGGGTTTTCTAATTGGTCGCAATGGAATTATGATCATGAATCAATTGCGACGGCTCAATATGAAGTATGCAGTAATCAATCTACCCGTGAACCTTACATTCACGCCGGTTCATAAAATCAATCAGCCGCCTTGGCTAGACTGGTGACCTTACTATCTATTTAGATACTTTTAAAGAAGTGCAGTGTAGGTACAAATTACAACTCATAGGACAGTCAATATATGCAATAGCATCAGAAGCAATAACTAATTTAAAATACACTCTGGACATGATCTAAAAAGGTTCTAAACTAATAGTAATCATTGTAGGCACATAAGTTTTAAGTTCTGTTTTGCCACACCCATGATTGTCGACTGATGGGTTTGCGTGTTCAATTTTCACATTGATGTTGTGTCGTATTTATTGCCAGTTATGTCGGAAGCTGTTAGTTTATATGATTACGATGATCTAGTCATAATATTGTACCGAAATTGTTACGTTTTAAATAAATTCATTGTTAAAACTTGGGCGCTTACAATGAGTATGCTACATAATACAAAAACTAACTAAAACTAACCTGTATGTTTACTATTTTAAATACATTTCAACGTGCTTGCGAAGCTGTGGCAACTTCCAAGCTTCATCGTCACTGTTTAATACTTTCAAAGTTTGTAAATTCAATATGCGTTCCTCTTTTTCAGACTCGTGCAAGTATCCGTCGATGAAAATTATCTAAAACAATGAGTGTTAATTAACCTCATTTCGGGACTACCGGGTGGACGTTTTGCTTACTTTCACATAGAACTCATCGTTGACTTTGTGTAGTTCGAACGTTAGGCTTCCAATGTACAACGGCCAAATCAGTTCAGGAAACTTCAAGATTTGCATCAGAGCAACGACGTTTATATCATGTCCGGAGTATAAAATAATCTTAGGTGAGTCACCTTTTAAGTTTTCTACTTTTGCCTCCATTTCGGAAAGAATCTTTTGCATTAAATATCCTATACCATCTTTTAAATAATCTTTACGCGCCATATTCTCAGTCAAATAGGTGGAAATTTCTTGTTCAATCTTTTTGGGATAGATATCCGCAATCCATTCAGGGAGCTCTAGCCCTAAATCTAACTGACTCTTGATGATATCATAAATCATTGTTAATTGAGAGGCATGGTCAATTTTCCAATTGAGTTTGCCTTCAACATGTTTTACTACTTCGATGCTGTTTTGGGACTTTTTGAATTCCGAATGATTTTTGTTGTTAGTGACCTGCAGAATCATAGGTCCGAACAGGGGATCTTTCGTTATACGTTGATAATTGAATGGAATAGGATGCCAGTTTAGATCCTCGGTTATTCTAGTAGTTTTAGTTGGAGGAAATAGTCCGGCTAGGACCAATTGTAGGGTAGTTCTAGCCCGTCCAACTTCGGAACTATGCGCTTCCAACAGGGAGTCATAATATTCAGCCCCTAAGAAGCTATTATAACGATCACGTAGTTCCTTACCAAATTCATAACATTGCTTACGACCATTCTAAATTAAAATTTGGTATCAATTTTTTGAAATTGAAGTTTGCATAATTTTACCTTTGTAAGTTGGCCACGCCCAAAAGGTTCAAATTTGACATTTTGATAGGGATCACCGGGATAACTAACCAAATGATCAGGGGCGCGAATACCATGCCTAAAAACCTTGAAGTTTCGATTTCTAAATGCGCTAGACGCAAATGTTTAAACTTACTACTTGCACCAACACCAACGTAGACTCGTCCATGGCTTTTTTTTACCGAGATAAGATTAGTATATAATTATGACGTTGTTGCAGTGCCTAGCTTCGTGTTGTGACTGTTCTCTCAAAAATTACGCTTGCCACGTTATTCGTCTCGTCTGGTATGTGTACAAGCATTTGAACATTCATGGTTCCAACCAAATTTCAAGGTCAAATATAATTTATATGACCAATGTCAATGATTGCACCATCAATACAAACTACACATATAGATATAATCCATATATTTGTTCATTGCGGTGAAATTTTTATCATTAAATACACACATTAATAAAATTATTTATAAATTAATACTTTTAAAATATATTGGTTTTATAATTTAGTAGCAGTCGGGAAATACTCTTGAACGTGCTTGGTGAATTCACTTAACTTGCACATCTCTTCATTGGAATTTGGTAGCTTCAAAATGTTTAATTTTTCTTCATTTGAGAGATTTTTAGCATCCTCTGGTCCATTTTGGTGCAGTATCTTTACGTAGAATTCCCCATCGATTTTGTGTAACTCAAACGTAATATTTGACATGTAGTTCGGCCATTTTGTAGAATCAAACTGCTTGAAAATACTTAAAATACCCGCGATGTTAATATCATGTCCAGAGTACAGAAAAATCTTGGGAAGTTTCTCTCCATTCCTAGTAATTTCTTCAACTTTTTGGGTCATAATGTTATTGATTTCTTTGATAAACTCACCAAATCCACCAATAATAAAATCCTTTCGGGCGAAGTTATGTTTGGTAAAATCTTCAAATTCTTTTTTCAATTTGTTTGGGAAAATTTCCACGCACCACTTTGGCATTTCTAGGCCTACGCCAATCTGAGTTTTCAGGGTATCGAAAAGGAGTAAACATTGTGCTTGAACTCTTACATTCCACTTCAGATCTTCTTCTATACATTTAATCACCTCTTGACTGTTGGCAGTTTTACGAAATTCTGGATGGTCTTCGTGCTGATACATATTTACAATAGCTCTACCTATGAGAGCGTCTTCTTTTAGTGGTTTATAAGTGAAAGGCACGGGTTGCCAGTTGAGGGTATCGTGAATTTTGCTGGTTGATGATGGTGGAAAGAGGCCGGCTAGCACTAATTGAAGAGTGGTTCGCGCACGAGAGATTTCGGAACTTTTTGCTTCAACTAATCCGTTGACGTAGTCAGGGCCTAGGAATTTCGAGTAGCGATTGCGCAGTGTTTGGCCGAACGCAAAACATTGTTTTCTTCCAATCTAAAAGCAAATTAAATGGTTAAAATTTCTTCTCGATGTTTTATTATTTTTACTTACCAAAGTTAGCTCACCTCTTCCATATGGTAAATAGGGCTCGAGTTCATACGGATCTCCAGGATAGTTGAGTTTTTGGTCTGGGGATCTGTGACCATGTCTAAAAATCTGTTTATTTATCAATAATTAATATTCGCTATAATTTTATTTACTTAAATTCTTACAACTTGAGTCAAAACCAATGTTGACTGGTCTATATTATTGGACTTATTAGATCTAGACATGCTAGAAAGGCTTCTAGCCAAGGATATTGATACTAAAAATATAAAAAAATATGGATATACATATAGGATATAAATTACTATTTCATTTGTGGGATTAATTCAAATTTTCTACCTGTTATTCTTAAACTATTCAAAAGCAATGTTTTCACAAGCAATGTGCAGACTAAACTAACTTTCACTATTAGTAATCACATGGTCAGGTACTCTGAACGATATCGATTATTTTATTTTTTACCGAGTAGAACAGTCCGCTCCATAATTGAGATATAATGATGATAATACAGATCGATAAGTACTTACGTTTTGCAGGCATGTTTTATATGAGTTATACTGTTATACTGTTTTACTCCGCTTTAACTTCGTCCATGCATCCCGCGCAAAATTAAATTTCCAGTCACGTTTACGATGATTCACTCCTAAAAGATGACCGCGTATTCGCCGGAAATAAGTTAAAAAGCTAGTAATACTAAAGTAGCTTGCTGTATCAGTCGCGTGTTAGTTTGCATCTAACACGATATTCAAACAGCATGACTTGATGAATTACACTCACGCGTTATTATTTATGGTTTTACGTACACCATGGACTAAGCATTATCACTGGCTACAGTGAGTATACAAATGTGGTGGAATTGTGCGGTTCGGTAAACACATTTCTCCACGTTGAATCAACCTCATTCAAGTTCATTTTGATAACACAAGTGGATTCCAAGGTATTTAAAAAAATACTTGTAATGAATGGTCGTCAATGGCAGGCATGCAGATATGATTAAATAATAATTAAATACTAATTATTTTATAATGTGTGGAATGATGTATTGAAATTTGTTTCTAGGTAGTGATTGATTTCTTTAAATATCATCACAAGTGCATCCCGGTGCGTAATGTTCCTCAGTATAGTTTTCAAATTCTTCTAATGTTATAAAATCGTCATAACCAGGAATGGTCATCAATTTTGGTTCATTATAACTATTTTGGAAGAATATCTACAAAATAAAAATTAATAAAATTAAGTTGTTTTCTGTGGTTAAGTGACTACTTTAAAGCCATAAACATCGTCAATATTATGCAATTCAAAAATTAAGTGGGCTCCATATTCCACGGTTTGATCGTCCCAAATGCTCAATGCTCCTCGCAAAGCATGAAGGTTCATATCATGCACAGCGTAAAGATACATTTTCCTTCCATGCGGGTCATGAATTTCCGAAATTTTTGTTTTTGCTTGATCAATGATTTGTTTTATCATAGGTCCTGCTGCAATAGCACGTCGTTTGTTTTGGAAATGCAACCAGAATTTGTAAGCTATGTTCCTAAGTTGCTCCGGCCAGATTGGTTTCACCCAATCTGGCAGTTCAAGACCTGCTTCGAGCTAAACATATTTAAAAATAATTTTAAAAAGTATTTAAAAAAAATTCAATTGATCCGTACCGATGTTTTAAAAATGTCATAAACTCGCATGGCGCTCAGGTATTCCAATTTGTCAAAACCACTGTGTTCTTGAATATATTCTAATAATTCTTTATCTTCTTGCGGGATGCGTTCAGGATTAATGTTTTGAATTAATTTAGGACAGTGTATGTGAATGGATATTAGCTAGAACACAAATTTTAATTAACTATCGAATTTATTTATAGGATGGAGCTCATTTACTTTATCAGTTTCGAACGGGATAATTTTAAAAGGGACGGCTTGCCATAAAAGGCCTTTACATGGTATACCCGTTTTAATATTTGGTGGGAAAAGCCCAGCATGGACACACTGTAGAGACATTTGACATCTCGTATAGCTGGATGTGGTGGATTCCACAATGTCCGTGTAGAATACATCGCCCAGGAAGGCTTCGTAACGTTTACGCAGGTCATTGCCAATGTTTATCATTCGCTCTTGACCTTTCTGCAAATTATCTTAAAGGATATTTATATATGACAATATAATGCAAAAAATTCTTACATGAGTAACTTCTCCATTTTTATAAGGAAAGAATGTATGGTTTTGATATGGATTCAATGGAAATGTGTCTAATGTATCAGGGGTGCGATCACCATGCCGAAAAATCTGTAAATTATGATTATTAAAATGACAATGTTACAATTACAAATCAATGCTTCATACAACGGTGACCAGAACTAACGTATCTGTATCGGCCATTTACTGCAAATTTTTGGTGATGATGTATTAATTTAACTATGACAGTTTGACTATTTTCAATTTGACATAAAATGGTCAGGAATCAAATGAATTACTCCATAGTTACAATTATCTTTTAGCTTTATATTTTGTTAAAAGGTGCAATCAGGATTCCCATAAAGAAGGTCACTTAACTAACCAAAAAATGATTCTACTTGTAATATTTTAACTTTTTACCTTTATTAATATGTTGTACTTGGGTTCGTGTTCAGTATATTTCTAATAACAGACTGCCAAGTCTATTTATATACTATCTATAACGACATTCCTACAGAGATAAATATTCATTATACGTTGAATCCTTTTAATTTATGATGTGTAGTACAATATGGGGCCTACCTTTTATTGGAATTGTACAAAATTAACAGCATATATTGATTTAAATATTATATATATATTGACAGATCCATTAATTCTCGACGAAAGTGAGCGCACTCAAGTCAGCGATTTTGATGCCCATTTTTACCTCAAAAGTACACCTTAAAAGAAGACGTTCCTGCAAATTTAGATATAATCAAATATGGCCGCCTGAGAATTTTTTGAATTTAAAATGAACAATCGATTTTTTACTGATTTTCAATAAATTATATCTCAGCTTCTATTCAATTTAAAGATTACTGTTAAACGGCATTCGTCTCAGTAGACTCTCTATTTGTAAGAAAAAAAAATTATATTTGGTGTAAACTTACGAGTATATCGGGCTTAGCTGACAGCCTCTAATTAACGAACTGTTTTGGTAAAATTTTGCCAATTTGTAAAACACCAGTATATGTACAGTATTTGATGTGAAGGGTCGACCAGCAGCTACAGCAAACAAAGTTTCTTTAGCGAATCCTGTGTGCTGCCAACGCTTTCGCTTCATTCCACGTTTTTTGAACGGGTTCAAGTTCTTGTAGTATGGTCCGACGCCAGCTGCTTTTTGGGCGGCCTCTGGGTTTACTTTACTACCCTGTGGATTCCAATTCAATGCTCTTCGTTGGATGCTATTAGGTCTTTTGAGCGAGTGATCTATCCATCCTCTTTTACCTTTTTTAAATTTCTATGCCTACGTGTGTTTGGTTGCATTGCGTCCATAGGTCTTCGTTTGTTATTTTTTGCGGTCAGAAAATGCGTAGTACATTTATTACTAGGAGACATTTATTGATGAATTACAAGTAGTTTGTTATTGATAGCTTTTGTTGTTTTCCATGATTCACAACCGTAAAGCAGGACTGACTTTACATTGGTGTTAAATATTCTAATTTTTGTATTCTTTGAGTAGTTGGTATTTCTCCAGATGTGGTTAAATAGTCCAGACGCGGTGTGCGGCTTTGGCTATGCGCATGTCGACGCCTTTTTTGGTCCTGCCCGTCACATTAATACTGCCAAGATATATGAAAGTATTTACTATCTCGATTACAATGGAATCCCGGTAATCCGACAATCACTTTGCAGGGCAGTGTCGGATGAGCGAATTTGTCGGATTATATAAAAGACCCCTTACAGTCCGGAATGTTTTACAAAAAAATACCTTGTAATTCGACAAATTACAAATCCAAAAGTACAAACATATGACATATGACCATGTCAGATTACAAGGTGTGCCGGATTAAGCCGTGTGCGGATTACCGGGATTCCTCTGTATTTCGTTATTGATTATTACATTTGTTAAGAAATGACTCCGCATTTGGTCTCTAATTCAAAATATCTATTATAATTTATTTTCTAATTATACAATCTCTATTCGTTTCACGATCTCAACTTTTCCCCTTTTACACTGTCGTCTCTGCCGCGTTCTTTACTTGACTCCCCTCTGACCCGTCTTCTCTCGCATTCCCTGAATATCCTTCTCCCTTCACTCTCAGCGCTTACGCGCAGTCTAGCTGACTACGCCACAAGGCCATACATAACATTCTGCCCTTCCTGACTAAGACGCGCTCCTCTTCTCCTGTGGTATAATTCTTTAGCCAGGCTGGTCGTCGCCGTCATCGAGATAGTCGGCGGCGCGGTGGTCCACTTCGTCATTGTCGCTTGTTGGCGCAGATGTTGGCCAGTCACCCACCATTTCCACACCTTTTGCTCCTTCTCGGTCTTATTCTTACGCTTCTTCGGACTGCTAGCCGGCTTCTTCTTGACAACCGCTGGCGTGGACTTCGACTTCTTCTTCTCTCTCTTAATTGGCTTCACGTTTTTGTTGTTTTCATTGTCTTCCAACGGCGAGCACTTTTCCGATTTAGATCTTCTGTGAACTGCTGTGTTTACGTCTATCCTTGTCTTTGTCCTTACTCCTATCCTTACCCCTATGTTCGTTCCTTGCTTGAAGACTTGGGCGAAGAACTCTCTTCTTTGGAACTGCTGTGATGGCGATCCTTGTCCTTGGAGCTCTTGTGGTCTTTGCTGCGACTCTGGTGATCACGATGCTTGTTGCTATGCTCCGACTTGGAACTCTTGTGCTTGTCTGGCGAGCTGAACCCGTTCGACATGTCATTTTTATGGTGATGGTTGTTTGATGGCGAGACAGGCTCAGACGCTGAATTATTGACGTCCATAGCGGCATATTCGGAACACTCCCCTTGGTCGATTGCGGGCGCTGCGACGTCCGAAGAACCCACGCTTAAATTTTCGACTGCAATGGGATCGCGATAAGTACGCCCACCTTTAGCACCGAACCGATTTTCACGAAAGCGACGGACGGTAGATCTAAGAGCGTTCTCCCCAGCAGCGTCCTCTAGGACGAGTAGCTGTACCTGTTCGCACACGTCATCTATATTTATTGTGGTCTCTACCTTACTCTTGGTCTCCACAGTCTTTTGGCCAAAACCTCGCAAAGAGATCACGTGTGGCAGCATCTTCAGTCGTTTTGCTAATGCGACGTCTCTCTGATTGTGCACACAGCACACCCCGGATCTACGTAGGCAATCACTGTGTGGTTTCCCCCTATGGAAGCTTCTTTCAGGTACTTGCCACACTCCTCTCCTGGTAGGGCGACGTGGAACTGTGCCTGGGTTTCGGGGATCTCTTGTTTAACTTCGGCGGCAACTGGAGGAGAATGGCAATAGCGTGCGACGTGACCGTAGCTTCGGCAACGAAAACATAACCGGGGTCCGTCCCTGTCTCAAGCTGGGAGTCTTGTCGCGGCGGCTGGTTGGTCTTGCACTGCCGAAGGTGTCGATGTACGCCATGAAGTGCTAGTGGGAATTTCCCGCGAAGACATGGTCGTTGGTAACGGGGTAGTCCGCTCCGCCGTCGAGGGCTCCTCACCTTGCCTAAAGGGCTGCCGGTGGGCCCACCTTCGGTCAAGAGATATCTTCTCCAATATAAAAAAAATTAAATTGTGAGCAATTGGATCGGTGAGCAAAAGTCGCTGTGGGAAGTATTGCCTGTGAGCAATTGTCCGTGTGCGCAATTATGACTGTGGGAAGTTTTCTGTGAGTACTCGTAGTAGTATTCGTGTGAGCGATCGTTTTGTGGGCAAATGTTTGGGAACCCAAAATATCTATTTTATTCTCTAATTATACAATCTCTATGCGTTTTACGATCTCAACTTCTCCCCTCTGGCCTGTTTCTCTCACACTCCCTGAATATCCTTCTCCATTCACTCGCAGCGCTTGCGCGCAGTCCAGCCGACTACGCCACAAGGCCATACTTAATAACAGCGATCATTTATTTTCTTTTCTTTGGTTTTGTTTGTATTTATTTCTCACTTTCCTTGCTTTTTGGAACTCATCTTCGTCATCTATGTCTTCGAACGTATGTGACATAAAGCATATGTCATCGGCATAGTCTAGGTCTCCTAGCCATAAGTTGTGTTCCGGTACTATGTTGAATAGTAGCGCGAAAGAACACATCCCTGTTTGACTCCGTTGCAAATTTCTAATTTGTTTTGCCAATTTTGTTCTTGTGTAGGACTTAGCAGTTAGCATCGCTGAATAGTTCTTTGATTATTTTTGGCGGGACACCTTTTCCTTGTAGTATTCGCCAGATTGTGTATTGCAGGGTGTCAAATGCTTGTGTGAAGTCAACATTATTAGATAATGTGGCGATCTGTATTTCTGTAATTGTTCTATTATGATACGCAAAGTATTAATTTGGTCCGCGCAGGATCTAGTACTCATAAGTCTAAACCCTGCTTGTTCTTCTCTCAGTATAGGCTCCATTTCTTCTAGTAAGCGGTTCGCAATTATGGCCGCCATGAACTTATTAATGGTGTTCAATATGGTGACACCTTTGGTAACTTTTGAATTAGTCCTCTTTTCCATTCTTCCGGTAAGTGCTCGTATTCCCATAGACTTTGGAGGATGGGTTGTCATTTTGCGCATGCAGTTGATCGAGTCCCGCAACTGTCACGGGTTTCAGTTTGTGTATTACTAATCTCTTACAAAGTTGGGGCAGCACAACTAATTCGTAATAAGTTAGCTGGCAGTTTGGTTTCTTGTGGTTGGATGTTTGTGAGGGGGTGTGGCTAAGTGTTTTTGTGAAGTACTTTATCCACCTTTTCAGTTGTGTGTCTGTTGTTGTTATCGATAGTCCATCGTTTGATTTAATTTGTGAAGCCTCCACACATGTCGGTTTGTTTGCCAGTTGTCTTGTTATTCTATACAACTTTCTGGTGTTTTCCAAATCTGCTACAGTCTGGGCTCTTTGCGCCAGGTTGTCCGCTCATCTTCGTTTATCTCGCCCGGCCCTTCTTTTTTATTTTTATTTGTAACTAGCTGACCCGGCAAACTTTGTTCTGCCTCGCTTTGCTCTTGTGATTGAGAAGCACGAAGTCGAGTCATACTAACACGGCGCTTTTCTCGTGCAATTTTTTGTTCTTCTTCAGTCCTTTCATTCGCAATCCTACGAATCCTAGTTGCATTACAGTTTTGTCGGGTAAGATTTGATCGCTGCATGTTGAGTAGGGAAGTTACGAAGCATCGCACAAAAAAGAGACGGAGAAAACTCGTTTAGTATCTTCCAAAGAAGTTTTCATTTCAAAAAGTATTAAAAAAAGTATCCTACACTTACTAAGTTCTATTCAAACAAACACATCAACCGGGCAACTTCAACCAACACGTACAAACCCAGGCACGTCTATGCTTAGGGGGAAGCTA